TCAGTGTACTCCAGTCAGCTTTGGATCTCTCTACTTTACCATAATGTTCTCTTCAAGGTCATCAGTAATCATTGCTCAAGCCACTGGCAACTTTCAGTCTTTTCTTGATACTCTTTGGCTTTGGAGACCACTGACGTCAGTTTTCTGTGCAACATTTTCTTCACTTTCATAACTCAGGACCCCCTTGGCTCCCTCCCAGCCTTTCATGCTCCTCCTTGGTAGCTCGTGGGAACTTTTCATCTCTACTTACTCTTATTGTGGGTGTTCCTCAGGCTCCAGTCTCCAACTGTGTCTCTTCCTCTTGTTCAACTCTCTTGGGCAGTTTCCCACTCTCCCAAGGGTTTAGTTACCATCTGTGTACTTACAACTCACTTCCACACCTGCAGCCTATCTCTTGCCTACCCAAACTCCCTATGTAAGCATCCACCAGATTCCACAAGCTCAGCATACCCAAAATTGAACTGGGCTGCCCCCACCCCACAGCCTGCCTCTCCACCTGGGTTCACATCTCCCTGAAAGCCACCACAACCCACTCTGGTGCCCAGCCAGAATGCTGGCATCATCCTGTGACACATTCCTTTTGCTTACCGCCCACGTGCAGTGACTCAGCAGCACCTATTGATCCTTGCTCTGAAACACTGGGAGTTCATCCTGTTCTTTCTCGGTGCCTCTCTCGACTCAGCCACTGTGTTTTGGACCTGGGGTTTTTACTTGTTTGCATAAAGTAAAGTTGTGGCCCCCATGCAGGTCCCTTTACTTCCAGGTATGGACACATCGAATCCAGTCTTCCCACACGGCAGCCAGAGGAATCAGTTTAAAATATAAATCTGCTCTTCCTAATTTCCTGTTAAAGCCCTTCCATGCTAAAAACAGAGTAAGTTAAATTAAAAAAAAAAAAAAATAGGAAGAGAAAAAGCTCCCATGGAGTCCCTAGTGCAAAAGTCCTTAACGTGTCCCTAGCACATAGTAGGTACTCAATGATTGTTTGAGGAATAATGCAATGAATGAATGAAATTTTCACCACTTCAAAGGGTAGCAATTTAATTAGTAGACACTTTAAAACACAACTTTAAGATGTTTCATCGGTTATGATTCCATTCAAAGCCCTTAATGCCTAAAGGCATACTTTCTTTGTAAGTGAAATCCCATCATTCCCTCCACCCTGCAAGAAAATAGTTCATTTCTTTTTCCAGGTCAGTTTTTTTAACCTTCTTAAATCCCTTTATCCCACCCCAGAGTTGAGTTATGCTGCCAATGTAATAATGTCTACAAAATCCTATAATGTTTTCTGGAAATATTAGTCACCATTATCTTGAAACTTCACTGAAATTCTCTAACCAAATAATCTGTCTAAAGTACTAAAGCTTAGTTTCCTGAATAGACTATAATAGTTAAATTAATTTTTAGGTTAAAAACTCAGCTGTCCTAAGTTTCCAGAGCAATAATGTATTCATTCAACAAATACTTGTGTATCTTTTATGTACCTAGCACTGTGCTAAGCACTGATGATATAGAAAGTTTTTAAAAATGAATTATTTCCTCCTTCAATAATGTAATAGTCTGTTTAGAGTCAGGGATTGGAACATGTAAAAGATTTATAAGGTAATGAAACAGTTACTAATGCTACTGCATATGCTACTGTGGGCACACCAAGACAAATAAGAGAAAAAAACCAGTTCTTCCACAAGAGAACTCCACAGAGCAAAGGATATTTCAACTAAGTCCTGAAAAAATTCACCAGAGTTCATTAAGAAAAGAGGCAGGAAGGGCATCTCAAAGAAAAGGAACAGCCTGTGCAAAGGTCTAAGGACAGGAGTGAACGTGGTAGGTTCTGGGATGGCAGGAAGGTAAGCTGAAAAGTGGTGAAGTGTGCAGGCAGTTGAGTGGCAGAACATTAGGCTGCAAAGGGGCCCAGGATATCTATCTCCAGACATGGTTTAGCCAGAGACAAGTCCAGGAGTTTTTGTCACACAAAAGGAAGTAGCCAGCTACCCAAATCATCTTTTAAGACTACCCAGTTAAAAAGAAATCCCCGAGGATTCCATTTCTGCAAAATGTAAGCCCTTATCTGCTAAGTGAGGCTCAGGTCATTTCTTTAAGGAAAAAACGCACCACTTAGACAAAAGTGAACTCTTTAGGTGCTATGAAGTCTTGGCAGAGGCTTGTTTTCTGTCCTCTGCTCCTTATTACATGTGATGCGGGTAAAGAACAAAGAGTGACTTCTTTTTCCAAGCTTTTGGCTCTCCATGAAAAGCCACAAGTACAGCTCTCCTGAGTGTCTTCCCCTCATTACAGAGCTCTCGCCTTGATCACCTCTCCTTGGTGCCACCAACATTCTTTTGATCACAGTTGTGTCTCAGTTTAGAGATGTAGTGTCGACCCAAGAGCTATGATGCAGAAAAGCAATTCTCAAACCTTTTGGTCTGGGGCCACTTTGTACTCTTAAAAAAATTATTGAAAACATCAAAGAGCTTTTGTTTATGTGTGTTATAGCTATCTGTATTTCACATATTATACATTAAAATGGAGAACACTTAAAAATGTTTATTAATTCTTACCAGAATTTTTTAAACCATTGTGTTAATATAGTAGTTTTTTGTTTGTTTGTTTGTTTGTTTGTTTTTAAAGATGTGGGATACAATTCAGGGTTAGGTATACAAATGTTCATTATGCAGGTATTCTTGTTGATGAGGTATAGTATATCAATTTTAACAAAAAATTTTAACAAAAAAATTATATTTTCTTAAATAAATTAGGAAGAAAAGCGGTATTATTTTACATTTTTTCCAACTCCCTAATGGCTGTCTTAACAGAAGATAAGTTGGAGTCTCACATGTGCTTCTGAATTCAATCTGTGGTGATATCACAGGTCATGTGACATCTGAAAAACTCGACACACGTGACAGAATGAGAGTGAAAAAGGCAAATGATGTCTTAATATTGTTATGAAAATAGTTTTAACATTACAGAGAGGGTCTCAGAGACCCTTAGTGGTTTTCAAACCACATCTGAGATCCTCTGACTTACAAGTTTTAAAATACTATACTAAAACATAAGAGTTTATAAAAGTTTGTATAAAAGGTATGTAAAAGCTAGCAGATCAAATGTTAAGGCAGAAGCCAGTGTGTGAATAATGACTTCAGATCTGTAAAACAAAGTGTGACCACTGTTTGAGAAAATGGGGAATTAAGGAAAACATGACTTATTGCTCTCCACTTGGTATCACTAAAATCAATTTTGATCAGTTTTTAAGCACTCAAAATCTCCTCCACTAAAAGAGAAGCAAACAGACTGGAGTTTTATGGGGATATCACCCCCATCTCACTTTAGCCAGAAAATAGAATGCCAAAGAGCTTGAAAATGAACCACCAATTAGGCAACTTAAGAAAGAAAGACACCTGGGGTTCGTGTTTTCTCACTCTGTAACCTTGAGCAAGCCGCAGTCTTCCTATTCTCAGTTTCTGGACCTATAAAAGGACCTTCATCCCCCTCAGGTGTGTGGATAACTTGAGATATGCAATGTGAATGTTGGCTTCCAGACTCCAAAGCCCTCTACAAATGTTATTTATTAAGATGATGATATTATTATGATTATAAGTCTGCTCCAGGGACAGATAAACATTTCCTTCTCTTTAAGTGGAGAAATTGCCCTCTATTCTTCCTTCATTTGTGTGTCCCAAAGTCCTTCTCCAATTAAGTTCTTACAGGCTGCCTCTGGAAAGGCCCCAGATGAGCAGTGTAATCTAAGCTCTGAGATTCCCAAGGCTAAACGCAATTACTCTAATACATTTGCTGTCGGGTTACCCCTTAGTGCAAATCTCCGAAGGAGAAGAGACACTGCCAAAAACACGTTCAGGGGAAAGCATAAACAGGCCTCAACTTCCCTCTCCCTTACCCTCCAAGGAAATTCTCTGACGATATTAAGTAAAGAAAAATTATTGCGGTGAAGAGTGAATATAAATAAGGACGTCTGGCTGCAACTTAAGCAGCTTCCATGGACGTGTCCTCCGTAAAGTCATAGGCTTCAGCAAGCATGATTGATGGTGAAGTACATTTTCATTAGTTTAGGTTCCCAACACACTCTGAAGTTGTAGAATGCTGTTCAGACAAAGATCGGGAGTGAATTATACATCTGATATAACCATGACCTAGAAGAGACCCAAAGGATAGGAAATTTCAATGGACAGTCGCAGAAAGGAAAAAGCAACCAGAAGCAACTTGGCTAAATTGGGCAACATGAGTATAAGATTAAACATTGGCATGTTTAGAAATTCCCAGTCCCAAGTTAATAAAACTGGGGTCATGAGAATTCGCCGTACTCGCCATCTGTGATCGTCAACCTACCCAGCCTCCTTCCAGCTCCAGAAAAACACTGTTAGGGGTGGGGAGAGGGGGAGATAATTCTTTTTCTTTTTCTTTTTGAGTCGAAGTCTCACTCCGTCACCCAGGCTGGAGTGCAGTGGCACATTCATGGCCACCCCAGCGTCGACCTGCCGGGATCAGGCGATCCTTCTGCCTCATCCTTCCAAGTAGCCGGAACTACCACGCCCGGCTAATTTTTTTATTTATTTGTAGAGACAAGAGTCTCACCAAGTTGCCTGGGCTGATCTTGAACCCACGGGCTCAGGCAATCCACTTGCCTCAGCCTCCCAAATTGCTGGGATTACAGGTTGAGCCACCGAGCCCAGCCAGAGATAATTCTTTAGTAACAAAACATCTCACCTCAAATAAGATTTTGTCTCAAAATCTGGAAAGAAATTTCAGCTCTAATTTATTCTAGAATATTCTGATGTTAGGTCATTTTGGACAAATAATATGGCCAAAACACAGACAACTTCATCATCTCCCTTTCCATATACTTATAAAAAAATAAGCCTCTTGCCTTCTACTCAGATAACTAAAATTTCAATAAATTATAAACAATGTTAACTTTATAAATAAAATATTAATGCGATTTTACAGTGTGTCTTTACTTGTCTGTCATTTTCCCCTCTGTCTAGCTTTGAAGGCCTCACCTTCTAAGAAACGGTGCAATTCCATCGCCGCCTTAAAGGCGACCTCCCAGGAGATTGTGTCTTCAATTAGCCAGGAATGGAAGGATGAGAAGCGAGATTTGCTGACTGAGGGACAAAGTTTTAGCAGCCTCGATGAAGAAGGTAAAGATGTGTAACTTTAAAAAAAAAGAAAAGAAAAAGTTTATGTGTACAAGTAATGTAAATTTACAGTAGAAAAATTAGAAAATTCCTTCTCTGAAAAACAAGGTCTATTATCAAAGGTATCAGAAGACCAAAAAAATCTATTAGTTACATTTTTAAGAAGATATATACAGCATGACATTGTTCATGTGAATTTTAAATAACAATACAGTTTATGGTTTATGGTAAAAATTAGAAAATACTAAAGTATTTCCAAAAAATGTATAATCTCACTACCAGATGATAACAGTACTAACATTTTGTTGTTTTTACCCTAGACCTTCTTCTGTGCATGTACATATAACTATATGTGTGTGCACAAAATGTAACAATAAATTGTCTCTTCATTTTTGTAAGTCCTCTTTAATAAATTTAAATAAAGTTTTATAATATCCTCCTTGCATGGCACGTATATGTACATACCTTTTGTTAAATTTATTTCTGGCACAGACATAGAGATACTGATATAGATATTTTTTTTTCTGTCTTTTAAAATAGTGTCTTTTTTAAGAATTGGGTTTTCTGACTGTTGCTACTACATAGATCTCACCTTTTTTCTTTCTTACTTACCTGCAAGCTAGGACTTCTGGTACAATGATGAATAGAAGTGTTGATTGTAGACAGCCTTGCCTTGTCCTGATTTTTAAAAGAGTGCTTCTAATGTTTCGCTGTTGAAAAAAGAAGTTTGTTGTATTTGATATCCATAATCAGGTCAAGGAAGCTCCTTACTTCAGGTTTGCTAAATTTTTCTTTCAAAATCAAGAACAAGTTATTGAAGAGGCCAGGCGCAGTGGTTCATGCCTATAATCCCAGCACTTTGGGAGGTCAAGGCAGAAGGATTGCTTGATACCAGGAGTTCAAGACTAACCAGGGCAATAAAGTAAGACCTTTACAAAAAAATTTTTTAAAAAATTAGCTGGGTGTGGTGGCACACGCCTGTAGTCCCAGCTGCTTGGGAGCTGAGATAGAGGATCACCTGAGTCCAAGAGTTTGAGGCTGCAGTGAGCTGTGATAGTGCCCCTGCACTCTAGCCTGGGTGACAGAGTTAGACTTCCACTAAAAAAAAATGTGTATTGAATTTTATCAATTATTTTTCTCTATCTACTGAGTTGATCATTTAGCTTTTCTCCTTTAATCCAACAAGGGAAAGTGACTTTTTAGATTTTTCTATCAGTATATCCTTTTGAAAATCCCAGCATGTCCTAAAATGTCTTCAACCTTCTATAGTAGGTAAGACCTCTTCTGGAATTTTTTTTTTATCTCAGAGTCTTTAGAATAGGGTATTATTTCTGTCCCTTCTTCTCCAGCACTTATCCATATATGATACATTGGATTTCTTTCTCATCTTCCCATAAGTGAACTTTTACCCAGAGTTAGTCATTTCAACAAAAGAGTTAATGAGTTTTGCTTGATCCTCTCTCTCTGAATTGGGGGCTGCAATTCCTGGCAGACATTCACCCACTCCCCCTAAGTTACCCTGCATTGGTGTCTCCCCCACCAGACAACCTGGTTTTCTGATGGCACACATGAAACTACAAGTGTCTGCGGTCTGGGTATTAGAATAAACTTATTTGTAAACTGTATTAGTTCAACTTTCAAATAGTATGCACAATATGACCTCTAAAGTTCGAACAATGGGTCTAATTGTTTATCTGGAAAGCAAAAGCACTACATAGTAAATATACTACATGATATCCAAGGTCTGAAAACATGGGAAGTAGTGCATATATTGTGTTTGTTTCTTTCAGATGAACTATTGGGCCCATTACTTGAAATTTAGAGACTGCAAAATGCAGGATATCATGTAGTATATTTATTATATAGTGCTTTTGCTTTCCAGATAAACAATTAGACCTTGTTTGAACTTTAGAGGTCATATTGAGCATACTATTTGAAAGCTTAACTAATACAATTTACAAATAAGTTTATTCTAATACCCAGACCACAGACACTTGTAGTTTCATGAGTGCTATAGTTCTCAAAAGAAGACATACAGGCGGCCAACAGATACATGAAAAAATGTTCAGCCTCACTAGTCATCAAGGAGATGCAAATTAAAACCACCCTGAGATACCACCTAGCTCCAGTCAGAATGGTCATCATCAATAACTCAAAAAATAACATGCTGGAGAGGATGTGGTGAAAAGGGAACACTTCTACACTGTTGGTGGGAGTGTAAGCTAGTACAGCCTCTGTGGAAAACAGTGTGGCAATTCCTAAAAGTTCTAAAAATCGACCTTCCATATGACCCCGCAATCCCCCTACTGGGAATATACCTAGAAGAACTCAGATCACTCTATGAAAAAGACACCTGCGCAGTATGTTTATCGCAGCATTGTTCACAATAGCAAGAACATGGAACCAACCATGCTGCCCATCAAAAGAGGACTGGATTTTTAAAAGTTTGGTACATATACACAATGGAATATTACGCAGCCATAAAGGAGAACAAAATCATGAACTTGGCGGCAACCTGGATGGACTTAGAGTCCATAATACTGAGTGATTTTTCACAGAAACAAAGATCTGAGTATCACATATTCTCACTCATAAGTGGACCTTGAACAATTATCGTAATACTATAAGAAAAGGATTGACTAGCGGGAAACTGCAGGGGCATGGGGGAGCAGGGAGGTGGGATTGGCAGTAGTGGGAAACTGCCTGGGGAAGGGGGGAGCGCACCTCATCAACAAGGGTAACTGCACAATGAATATTTGTATACCTGACCCTGAATTGTACCCCACAATTTTAAAATAAAAAATTTAAAGGTTAAAAAAAAGGAAAGAAATTTAGAGATACTACACCCAAAAGGCCTCTGAAGGTCACAGTAAAACCTGTTGAACATATTCTTTGAAAATGTAACATACTATCATAAAATGAGTTTATCTTCACAATTATCTTCATGTACAATGTTTAGTCTCTTAATAATGCTCTGTGAATGGGAACTTCTCTTTCATCCTACACTGAATCAACACCCTCGAGTTTTTCCCTCTAGTTTTGAACCATTTGTTTTCCGGCATTCCCAGTATGTTCAGGTTATATTCATTTCCTATTTCTAGGTAACAAATCACCACAAATTTAGCTGCCGGAGCCCAGCAGGTCGAGGCTGCGGTGGCTGGGAGCAGCCACTGCACTCCAGTCTGGGCGACAGAGTGAGACTCCAACTCAAAAAAAAGAAACTCAATCCCCCTAACGCTTTGACTCTGACTTCCTCCATTTCTGACCTCTAGACCCAGATTGAAAGGGCTCATGTGACTAGGTCAGGCTCCCCTGGTTAAGCTCCCCTTTGACTAACTCAGAACTAGCAATTCAAAGTGACCTTATAGTGACATCTCCAAAATCCCTTATGCCGGATCACTTAAAATAATCACAGGTTCCACTCACAATCAAAGGGAGATTATACAGGGGTGCCAGTCATTAGGGGTCATTTTAGAATCTTGCCCACCACACTGGTTTTGGGAAAAAAATGAAGCCTACAGAAGCATGAGGGAACAGTTCTCTCCTTCAAGGAGCTACTCGTCAGGTTGAGAAGTCAGTTCCCCAATGTGTGGATCATGTGTGATGTGGGACTGAGTCATTGGACAGATGGTGTTATTCCGTATGATGTCACTCAGGTCATGTCTCGTTTATGAAGTAAATAAAGCTGGTACCCAAGACCCAAGACTGCATTGGTTGTTCAGAGTCCAGTTCCATCTGCCTTCTAATGAGTGGCAATTCACTGGAATCTGCTGCCAGGTTATTTTCAGACCCAGTTTTCAATGTTATGGAGTGTTCATATTCTCCTCTGTATTTAATGAGAAGTTGGGATCAAGTATATTGAGTATTGCAAGCCAGGTGTCATTTTAAAATGAAAGCCTTTCTAATTTTTCAGTGTTGAGCAGGTTGATTATTCATAGTTGTGTATGATTATCATCAGTTATCCATCACTGCAGTCCTTGATTTTGACTGGAATCAGAGATAGAGCGCTACCATCCCATTGTGATGTCCGGTTTTCTTGACCACAGTCCAACCCCTCTTGTACTTGCCCTAATTTCCCTTGGTGCCTCTCCCTACCCCCACCATATTTACCTTTCAAATCCAAAATCTAAGACCTTTCATTCACACGATTATGCCCATCAGAGTCATTTTTCATAAAACACTGAAAATGCCTAATGTTGAATTTGGTGTGCCTACCAAGGAATACCAGAAACACCTTAAGTTTATATTGTTTTTATTATTATCTGTTTTAGTTCAGTTTGGGGAATGATGAAAAAGAGTTCACATAGACTCCAGAGAGACGTGCATGGGTTACTGCTTAGCCTCAAACATTTGGTGGGCTCTTGCATAAAGTAACTTCATGGGCCCCTAAATTTTAAAAAAGAATATGCAGCCATAAGAAGAACAAACATATGGACTTCGCAGCAACTTGGATGGATTTAGAGTCTATCATACTCAGTGATCTATCACAGAAACAAAGAACAGAGTACCACATGTTCTCACTCATAAGCGGACCCTGAACATTTACCATAATACTGTAAGAAAGGGATTGGCAGTAACGGGATACAGCCAGAGTGGGGGTGGGTGAGGGACACAACATCAATAAGGGTACCTGATCTCAAACCAGGCAAAGTGGGGACCAAAGGGAAGCACAAACTTTACCTGTACGATGACCACTTGTATACCTAATCCTGAACTGTATGCACTCCACATCTTTAAAATAAAAATTAAAAAAAGAAGAATTTTCTCTCTCACTCACTTTTTTTTTTTTTTTTGAGTCAGTTTCTCACTCCGTCACCCAGACTGGAGTGCAGTGGCACATCATGACTCACGATAGCCTTGACCTCCTAGACTTCGGGGATCCTTCTACCTCAGCCTCCCGAGTAACTAGGACTACAGGCACATGCCACCATGCCCAGCTAATTTTTTTATTGTTTGTAGAGACAAGATCTCACTACATTGCCAAGACTGGCCTCAAACTCCTGTACTCAAGCTCTCCTCCCGCCTTAGCTTCCCAAAGTGCTAGGATTACAGTCATGAACCACCATTCCCAGCTGAGTTTTCTCATTTTTAAAAAAGAAGCCTTGCTATTAGGATATGTCAAGAAGAGCCCTGGATAATGTGTAGAAATACGTGTGGGCTCGGATGGGGTTAAGGTATAGCTGACAGTCTGTTGAAGTATTTGTTTTCTGGCTCTTGAAAAGTCTACATTTCTGGGTCTAAAATAATATAGATGTGTATGTATCACAAGAAGACAAAGCAGGTTCACTGTATGTTTATATATTTGTCAGTCATCCTTTTAATCTCTGTCGAATTATCTCAAGTTCCTGGGAGTTTTTTGTGCCATCTTTTTGAAATAGTCAATCACTTTATTAGGTTTTTAAAAGAACATTCATAATGCCATTTCCATAAACCATTTTGTAAATTAATGCAATTTCCTTTCTGTTTAACCTGTTTGCAAGAAGCTACTTTACATTTCTGCTGTCATTCAGAAGAGTTCAGTTAATTCATAATTTAATTTGTTGCCTGATAAGTAAAATAAATGCTTTTGACTCATTTACATTATTATAGATGCTTAAGCTGCATTTATTATTGAGATTCATGAGTGTGTGTGTTGCGTTCATTCCTTAGCCCTGGGATCCCGACACAGGCCAGACCTGGTGCCTAGCACTCCATCACTGTTTGAAGCTGCTTCCTTGGCAACCACAATTTCATCTTCTTCCTTATACGTCAATGAGCACTATTCACAAGACAGGGCTACGCTCTATTCAAACAGGTAATGCTTAGCGCGATCAAATTACCCATCAGGCTGCTACCACATCAACATCAGGCCTGAACTGGTATCTCTGAATGGGAACACAGTCAACAAAGATGTGCCTGTCACCTACCTTGTAAGTAGGAGAGAGAGAACACTTGTGATTTTTACTGCAGCAAAAGTACATTGGAGGAAAAACCCTTGTCCTTTTTTTTTTTTTTTTTACAGTTAATCGTGATGTGTATGTTATACAATTAAATTATCATTAAAATTATATATTTGGCTCCATGGAAGAAGACAAATCTTTCATCATTTTTACTTTAGCAAATCTCTTAGGAATTTATTTTTTCTTTATTTCAATAGCTTTAGGGGGTACAAATAGTTTTTGGTTACATGGTTCCATTTTATAGTGGTGAAGAAGTCTAGGTTTTGTGTACCTGCTACACCCACCTGTGCACATTGCACTCGATAGGTGATTGTTTTGTCCTTCCATCCCTTTCTCCTTGCCCTTCTGAGTCTCCACTGCCCATTATACCATTCTCTGTGGCTTTGCAGATCCTTAATTTAACTCCTACTTGTAAGTGAGAACGTGCAGTGTTTGGTTTTCTGTTCCTGTGTTAGTTCACTTTGGATGATGTTCTCCAAAGGAATGGATTTTTTAAAACAAGCACTCTTAGTTACTATTACACAGACAGCTGCCGAAACATTTTAATATTCTCTTTTTATACATGTGATCTTAGTTACTATGGTAAACAGAATAATGGCCCCCAAAGTTGCCTTTGTCCCAATTCCTGGAACCTGTGGTTGTATTACCTTATATGGCAAGAGGGCCTTTGCACATGTGATTATATAAAGGATCCTGAGATGGGAAGAGTATCCTGAATTATCCAGACAGGCCCAGTGTAATCACAGGGTCCTTATAAATGGAAGACAGGAGGGTCAGAGTCGGAGAAGGAGATGTGACACCCGAAGCAGAGGTCAGAGAGAGAGAGAGAAGGATTGGAAGACGTTACACTGCTGACTTTGAAGATAAAGAAGGGCCCATGAGCCAAGGAAATCAGGTGGCCTCCAGATGCTGAAAGGGCAAGAGAATGAGTTCTCTCCTAGAGTCTCCACAAAGGAGCACAGCCCTGCCGACAGCTTGAATGTTAGGACTTCTCACCTCTAGAGCTGCAAGACAATACATCTGTGTTGTTTTAGGCTACTATGCTTGTAATTTGTTACACCGGCATGGGAAACTAATACAGTGTCTCTCAAACATTTAATGGGACTTTAAGTATTGGAGTAGGTTGTTGAAATTTCTCAGCTTTTTATTTGGTGTTGTTTCTTTTTTAAACAAAATTTTCTTGAACATTGGTTCTAATGATAGAAAATGATATCTTTACCCAAAAAAAGTCTATAGGATGTTTTACTGTCTATATTTATGTATGTAGTTTTATAACTAACTTTAATTCCAAAAGAGGGATTAATAGGTATAGGCTCTCAGTAATTATCTACTAACTGTAAAACTTGATCTTGTTGAAATCTAGTTCTCGAGAATCAAGATCAGATTTATGCAGGTGAAGTATTTCTTCTACTGTAAGTCATTTTCCACCTCCAGGCTAGCAGCTTGATTCCCTTCCAGAAAGAGGAGTCAATACGGTAGATTTATTTTTTAATATATTGTGTATATCTACAGAATCTAGCTTGGTCTTTTGGCAAGTTAAAGTTTAGCAGTTGGCCCTGCTGTAGTAATTATTTTTTGTTGCTGTTCCCTCCACTCTCGGCTAGATTCAAGATTAGGTAGGTAGCAGATTAGGCAACCACTCTAGATTGAGAAAGTAGAATGAATGTTAAGACCTCAAATCTTGGTTGGGCTTGAGCTTGGATTGTTCTGCTCTAAGGATCAACAAATAGAGCTCCATCATAATATCATTAAACTTTCCTGAACTATATAAAAGTTATTTGATTTGGCTACCTTCTTTGGATTGGAGAAATTTGAAGTGACTTAGATTAATGTGCTATACTTAATATTAATGTGTACCTTGAATGTTTAAATTTAGTATGTTAATTAGTCAAGCAATAGTCTTTCCTATCTGTGTGATGCAGTTGAATTCATGGATCTATATAAAATTCTTTTGCTCTCAAATATAAATAGCAGCTCAAAGGGTAGCTGGAAAGTCATAGGACATTCTTAACAAGGTCAAAAACAATCTTCATGTGAAGCCATGGTGGTTACTTACAATTTACTACTGTGGTAACTATCAGGGACATATAATTGGATGTGTCTTAATCATTTACTGAAATTTTCAGCACAGAAATAAAAGGGTTTTTTTTGTTTGTTTGTTTGTGATGATTGTTGTTAAATATTCAGTCTCTTGGCCAGAAGTATTAAACTCTTGGGTATTCATAAGGTTTCCCCAGGACCTGACACTGGCTTCTCCTAACTCTTGATTCTTCCTGGCCATCTGGGGAGCTACCTCTGTGTGTCTTCCTCTGCATGCTCTGAGGGCTGTGCTGTAACTTTTGATACTTTTACTTATGTTGATACCTGCTAGCATATAAATTTGAAGGGAGGAAATTAGTTATCTATGATATTTTCCCTTTTTAAAGAATATTTATTTTTAAAAAATGAGTTTTATATAAGTCTTTGGCATTGTATCTTCAAGTTGCAATTTGATATCTTTTCTTTAGCTATTAGTCGGGGTTCACTTGCAGGAAGGAGAAGCCATTTCATCTTAAGCAGAAAGGGATTTAATCTAGGGAATTGGGTGCATACAAAGTCTGTGGAAAGACAAGGGGCCTGGGCTCCAGGCTGGCACCAGAAAATCCATCCTGGAACATACTACTGAGCAAGCCCACCAGCAGCAGCATTGCAGCAGGGGCCATAGCCAAGCCAGTGCCTGCCAACAGGATGCAACCAGAGAAAAACATTTCAGTGAGCCCAGAATGTTTTTTAAATGAGCCAAACAACTAAAATACCCAGATCCTTTTGAAAAATCCATATCTTTGGCATCATATAATTTGGGCTGTATTTCCTTCCGGCGTTTATCACCTGGAGGAGAGAACTCCAGGCCCTCCTGGTCAACTACTCTGCTTCACTGCTCTGTGCTGTTATCTGCCTGCTCCCCGGGACATTTATGCTTTTAGCCCTGAGTAACTGATAGACAGACTTCAGATCTTAATCACTGACTTGGAAACAATCATAAAGGAAAGAGGCCCAAAGGTGCTAAAGAACTCTGAAGAAAAATAGCATGAGAATCCCTGGGAGTCAATAGCCTTGCTTCCTCAACTCACTGTGCCCATCCCCAGTTATTCCCTAGAGAAACTTCACCAGCAAACTGGAAAGAAATTGTCATATTTTTGTTCGTATCTTTTTTTTCCCTTTAGAGCCCTCCTAATCCCACGTGATGTTTCTTGAGGCAATAAATAGGCGGTATTCTAAATCTTATCTGGCCTACTTAAAGTTTTAAAATCCAATCCAGATAGCCTGGCATGAAAATGCACTGAAAAGAAAAAAAGAAAAAGAATGAAAACGTGTTGTCTATTGATGTTATAATTTACATGTAAGAATTTTCACTTTATCGATGAGTCATTTTTCTGTTCAGGCAGAAGGGTCTGTTTTCCCACTTTGGCATTATGCTATACATATCTGTGCTAAAATAAGCTGTAAATACTTCAACTAGCAGTTGTCATTCTGTCAGTCTTCTTAGAATCCTTAAGTTTGCAAGGTATTGATTAGTGCCTGAATGTCCCCACTCTTAAATTATATACTTCAGTGGGAAACTGCTGTCTCTTAGAATTTTTTTTAAGGATTATTCTTTGTAACTATAAAACTTCAATAGCAATCCATTCTTTAAAAAAAAAAGTACTCTAAAAATTGACTAGGAAGCAAAGAAAAAAAATAGTATCAACTTAAAAGTCTATATTTAAACTTCTCATTGGGAGTACATGCTTTCAAGTCTCACCGTGCAGTCTTGTTAGAGCAGGCAGATTATAGGAATGAAGAGAAACTGTCATGGGCACTTGCTTCCGAGTCAAATCATGAGTATGTAAGCTCTGAATTTTTGATGCTTGAATTTTTCTTTCCTAGTAAGTCTATTCTTTTAAAAGAGGTATACATTGAGCACTAAGAAATATAGAAGCAAATGTGTTTTACCCCAAATTTTAAGAGCAATTTAATGTTGTAGAAATAGTTTACATCCATGAATATTAATTCTTTTCATGATTTCCTACATAGTTGGTAGCAAAGTGAAAGCTCTGATTATGCATAAGGATTAAAGGCCCTACTTCATTCCAATATATCTGTGCTTTCCCCATCAAAGATGTCTTACCAGTTTCCAACCTTGTCCAGTCTCCAATTTTGTTAGTGGCTATTTCTAACAGTTGGCTCACCCTGAAGTGATTTGGATTATTGTGAGAAGGGCAAATATGGCAGAGAAAAAGACACTAGTCATTTGCACATAGAGGAACAACTGGAAAAGTCTCCCTAAATGATGAGTCCAACGTTCTAGGTCTTAGATGCTGACCCAGCAGATCTGACAGCAGCCCTGTGCCCCCGTTTTCCTGCCATTGGAGTATCATAAATCTAGAAGGGGGTACAACACTTGCCTCTAGTCACAAGCCTCTCCCCACAAATTGCTTACCATTCAAGTTCAATGACATACAAATAGAGTCATCTCAAAGAAGGTTAAAGTCCTTTCTTTAGATCTGACTACAAGATCAGGACATGGAAATACAGAGACTTCAGTGACATCTCTAAGCAAACTGGTAGGACTTTAGTTAAGCATAGGCCTCTAGGGTCCAAGTCTCCTGTCCTTTCCAATGTACAACTCTTGAATCCATATACTTCTGGTCTTGCTTTTTGTGTTGGCTGTTGGGTTTTTTTGCTATCATAAATTCCGGTCCTGTGTTTCAGTCATTTTTCTTGCTGCTTAATAGCTAAAGTGTTTCTAGTAGGCAAAGTGGTAGGCTTATGTTAATATCTACCTATGAGCCGGGTTCGGTGGCTCAGCCTGTAATCCCGTGCCTTTGGGAGGCTG